CTAACAAATCTGCATACTGCGTTTGTTGATGCTGTTATAAGTTTCTGAATAAATTATAATAACCCCCAAAAAGGTATAAAAACAGGCAATTTTCTCCGAAAATCATAGTTTACAAAACTCATAAAAAAGCCAAAAAACATTAATTTCAATTCGGAAAGCTGTTCTATGCTAGTTTTTAGTAGATTAACAAATCTGCATACTCAGTTTTTTATTTTTCAACGTTTTCGAAATTGAAATTTCATAAGGGGTTACATCATTAAAATTGCCAAAATTTGACAAAAATTGAATTTTTTAAATTTAAAAACTGAGTATGCAGATTTGTTAATCTACTAAAAACTAGCATAGACAGCTTTCCGAATTGAAATTAATGTTTTTTTGGCTTTGTTATGAGTTTTGTAAACTATGATTTTCGGAGAAAATTGTCTGTTTTTATACCTTTTTGCGGGTTATTATAATTTTATTCAGATAATTATAACAGCATCAACAAACGCAGTATGCAGATTTGTTAGTGCTATAAAAACTTGCACAGAAAAGCTTTCCGAATCAAAATTAATGCTATTTTGGCCTAATTATGATGTTTGCAAAACTGATATTATTTAAAGAAATGGTCTGTTTTTATACCTTTTTTGCAGATTATAGCTTCAGTCAGAAGATTAAAACACAGTGAAGGAGTCATTTCCGACCCTATAAACCATATATATTCGTGATCAGCATCATTCGCCCAATCGTTCTAGCCATGTCCGGTCGAAAACAAATTTTTCAAACGTTTTCGAAATTGAAAATTTCATAAGGGGTTACATCATTAAAATTGCCAAAATTTGACAAAAAATTGAATTTTTTAAATTTAAAAACTGAGTATGCAGATTTGTTAATCTACTAAAAACTAGCATAGAACAGCTTTCCGAATTGAAATTAATATTTTTTGGCTTTGTTATGAGTTTTGTAAACTATGATTTTCGGAGAAAATTGTCTGTTTTTATACCTTTTTGCGGGTTATTATAATTTTATTCAGATAATTATAACAGCATCAACAAACGCAGTATGCAGATTTGTTAGTGCTATAAAAACTTGCACAGAAAAGCTTTCCGAATCAAAATTAATGCTATTTTGGCCTAATTATGATGTTTGCAAAACTGATATTATTTAAAGAAATGGTCTGTTTTTATACCTTTTTTGCAGATTATAGCTTCAGTCAGAAGATTAAAACACAGTGAAGGAGTCATTTCCGACCCTATAAACCATATATATTCGTGATCAGCATCATTCGCCCAATCGTTCTAGCCATGTCCGGTCGAAAAACAAATTTTTCAAACGTTTTCGAAAATTGAAAATTTCATAAGGGGTTACATATTAAAATTGCCAAATTTGACAAAAAATTGAATTTTTTAATTTAAAAACTGAGTATGCAGATTTGTTAATCTACTAAAAACTAGCATAGAACAGCTTTCCGAATTGAAATTAATGTTTTTTTGGCTTTGTTATGAGTTTTGTAAACTATGATTTTCGGAGAAAATTGTCTGTTTTTATACCTTTTTGCGGGTTATTATAATTTTATTCAGATAATTATAACAGCATCAACAAACGCAGTATGCAGATTTGTTAGTGCTATAAAAACTTGCACAGAAAAGCTTTCCGAATCAAAATTAATGCTATTTTGGCCTAATTATGATGTTTGCAAAACTGATATTATTTAAAGAAATGGTCTGTTTTTATACCTTTTTTGCAGATTATAGCTTCAGTCAGAAGATTAAAACACAGTGAAGGAGTCATTTCCGACCCTATAAACCATATATATTCGTGATCAGCATCATTCGCCCAATCGTTCTAGCCATGTCCGGTCGAAAAACAAATTTTTCAAACGTTTTCGAAAATTGAAAATTTCATAAGGGTTACATCATTAAAATTGCCAAAATTTGACAAAAATTGAATTTTTTAAATTTAAAAACTGAGTATGCAGATTTGTTAATCTACTAAAAACTAGCATAGAACAGCTTTCCGAATTGAAATTAATGTTTTTTTGGCTTTGTTATGAGTTTTGTAAACTATGATTTTCGGAGAAAATTGTCTGTTTTTATACCTTTTTGCGGGTTATTATAATTTTATTCAGATAATTATAACAGCATCAACAAACGCAGTATGCAGATTTGTTAGTGCTATAAAAACTTGCACAGAAAAGCTTTCCGAATCAAAATTAATGCTATTTTGGCCTAATTATGATGTTTGCAAAACTGATATTATTTAAAGAAATGGTCTGTTTTTATACCTTTTTTACAGATTATAGCTTCAGTCAGAAGATTAAAACACAGTGAAGGAGTCATTTCCGACCCTATAAACCATATATATTCGTGATCAGCATCATTCGCCCAATCGTTCTAGCCATGTCCGGTCGAAAAACAAATTTTTCAAACGTTTTCGAAAATTGAAAATTTCATAAGGGGTTACATCATTAAAATTGCCAAAATTTGACAAAAAATTGAATTTTTTAAATTTAAAACTGAGTATGCAGATTTGTTAATCTACTAAAAACTAGCATAGAACAGCTTTCCGAATTGAAATTAATGTTTTTTTGGCTTTGTTATGAGTTTTGTAAACTATGATTTTCGGAGAAAATTGTCTGTTTTTATGCCTTTTTGGGGGTTATTATAATTTTATTCAGAAACTTATAACAGCATCAACAAACGCAGTATGCAGATTTGTTAGTGCTATAAAAACTTGCACAGAAAAGCTTTCCGAATCAAAATTAATGCTATTTTGGCCTAATTATGATGTTTGGAAAACTTATATTATTTAAAGAAATGGACTGTTTTTATACCTTTTTTGCAGAGTATAGCTTCAGTCAGAAGATTAAAACACAGTGAAGGAGTCATTTCCGACCCTATAAACCATATATATTCGTGATCAGCATCATTCGCCCAATCGTTCTAGCCATGTCCGGTCGAAAAACAAATTTTTCAAACGTTTTCGAAAATTGAAAATTTCATAAGGGGTTACATCATTAAAATTGCCAAAATTTGACAAAAAATTGAATTTTTTAAATTTAAAAACTGAGTATGCAGATTTGTTAATCTACTAAAACTAGCATAAAACAGCTTTCCGAATTGAAATTAATGTTTTTTTGGCTTTGTTATGAGTTTTGTAAACTATGATTTTCGGAGAAAATTGTCTGTTTTTATACCTTTTTGGGGTTATTATAATTTTATTCAGAAACTTATAACAGCATCAACAAACGCAGTATGCAGATTTGTTAGTGCTATAAAAACTTGCACAGAAAAGCTTTCCGAATCAAAATTAATGCTATTTTGGCCTAATTATGATGTTTGCAAAACTGAGATTATTTAAGAAAATTGTCTGTTTTTATACCTTTTTTGCAGAGTATAGCTTCAGTCAGAAGATTAAAACACAGTGAAGGAGTCATTTCCGACCCTATAAACCATATATATTCGTGATCAGCATCATTCGCCCAATCGTTCTAGCCATGTCCGGTCGAAAAACAAATTTTTCAAACGTTTTCGAAAATTGAAAATTTCATAAGGGGTTACATCATTAAAATTGCCAAAATTTGACAAAAATTGAATTTTTTAAATTTAAAAACTGAGTATGCAGATTTGTTAATCTACTAAAAACTAGCATAGAACAGCTTTCAGAATTGAAATTAATGTTTTTTTGGCTTTGTTATGAGTTTTGTAAACTATGATTTTCGGAGAAAATTGTCTGTTTTTATACCTTTTTGCGGGTTATTATAATTTTATTCAGATAATTATAACAGCATCAACAAACGCAGTATGCAGATTTGTTAGTGCTATAAAAACTTGCACAGAAAAGCTTTCCGAATCAAAATTAATGCTATTTTGGCCTAATTATGATGTTTGCAAAACTGATATTATTTAAAGAAATGGTCTGTTTTTATACCTTTTTTGCAGATTATAGCTTCAGTCAGAAGATTAAAACACAGTGAAGGAGTCATTTCCGACCCTATAAACCATATATATTCGTGATCAGCATCATTCGCCCAATCGTTCTAGCCATGTCCGGTCGAAAAACAAATTTTTCAAACGTTTTCGAAAATTGAAAATTTCATAAGGGGTTACATCATTAAAATTGCCAAAATTTGACAAAAAATTGAATTTTTTAAATTTAAAAACTGAGTATGCAGATTTGTTAATCTACTAAAAACTAGCATAGAACAGCTTTCCGAATTGAAATTAATGTTTTTTTTGGCTTTGTTATGAGTTTTGTAAACTATGATTTTTGATTTATTAAAATTATATAAATGCCTTTTGGGCTTAGTTAATTATTTTGTTGCACTGTAAGGAACCATCACTAGAAGGGACGCTGACACCCTGAACCCAAGGTAATAAAGCAATCGTCTCTCGGTTAATTGCTACCACTCGAGGAAAACAGTATCCTTGAGGGAGAGGAGAGGTGACAAAGGGGATTTAAGTTGCACGACATCTCGATAGGATGGATAGGTGAATGGTTTTTCATCTTTTAATTGATTTTAATGTTGATAAGGCAAGGGGATGCCAGGTCTTGTTACTCAATAGCTAGAAAAATAAGAAAATGGTAGTGCATTAAATTAATCGCACTATTGATTTTAATATATATATATATATATAAAGCTACTTTAGAATGCCATCTTTATTATTATCCTGCCACTTGACTTTAATTTTTTATTGTCTTATTTTTTTTTTCAGTTTCTTTAACGCCATTCTAGGGTTCAAGGGTCTGGTCTTCCTGCATACCCCTTAAACTTTGAGCTTTCACGCACGGATATATATGGAGCGTCGTGTCATAATCGTAAACAAGTGCCTGGGACCGCGACATTTTATCGCTAGACCCGCGTGTGTCCTGGCAGAGTGGTTAATGGCCATGGACCACTCCGGCATAAATTAAGGGACCGTTAAGCGTAAGCCAGGGCCAATTACCAAAGTATCCTTGGTCATTAAATTTAGGGATGTGTTATCGCGGTGACTAGCCTTTGGATATAAAAAAAGAAGGAATCCTTATACAGACTTTTAATTTTCTCTCCATTTAAGTAAAATGTTTTTTGTTGACTCCGATATTTAAAAATGACAAAAAGATTTAGTTAGCCAATGACACGATTCTGGATGCATGGAATTCCATGTTGGAGAACCATCAGTCGCAAGCCCTTGCATCCTGTGTCCTCGATACTGTTCATCGCTCCCTCCATAATCAGTGACTCCTTCTCCTTGCTAAGATACCGCTGCTCCGCCTGAAGCTCAGTGGCCAGACAGTCCATTAGGTCATCCCTGGCAAAGAACCGAAAACTCACAATTGTGGTATCTGTGGCCAGTTGTTGCAGCAGCTCATACTGCTCCCAATACATGTCCTTTTCCAGGGTGAAGACGTAGATAACCAGGATCGTTTGATTCCTGTCCATCTCACCCTCACGCTCTTTGATCAATCGGTTGTAGATGGGCACCAGTCCATGATCACAGGTGGCCAAATTGTCTATGATCAGCAGATTTATGCCGCAGTTGGAGAGTCCATCAGTAAACTGTCTAACCAGACGGAACTTCATCACCTCATCGGAGACGACGGTGTTCCAGGAGTACGAGTGAGCATTGGCAGGCCAGGGAAAATTATATCTTAGCGAGTTAACCGTCAGGGATTTTCCCACTCCTGGAGGTCCTAGCAAAGCCACCGAGTGGAACTGCCCGGCTCTTGAGAGAGCACGTTCCATGCGAGCTAGAGCCTGCTCCTGATTGAGGACTCTCTTGCTTATGAGACGGAAAATGTGAGCCAAGTCTATTTGCTGGTTACAGGAATCATCCTCGGAAAAATACTGAGAGAGGTATGTAATACCAAGTCTTAATTATGTATTTTTATTATTTTACCTGGGATTTTTCACTATTTTCCCTCTCTTCCTCCAGCCCCACCAGTCGAAGGATGTTTATCCACAGGCTTGACTTTTGCTTTTCAGGAACTTCCGCCTCGCTGTCCGTTTCAATGCCAAGATAAATCAGGAGCAGCAGCATCACCAGCACTGCCGCAATGATGGAAAATCCCTGCAGGATATGGGATTGACGATTCGAGCTGAGACGGTCACGATGGCGTCTACAATTGGTGCTTCGCAGGATACCACGCTGGCGAGGATCCTCATCCTCGTCCACATTGAAGTCACCAGCATGATGGGGATCCAGTGTACGGTTAGGAAGATCGCGACGTCGATAGAACTGGAGAATGGGGGCATGATTAAGGATCAAGGGATTTCTGCAAGTGATATGTCCTTTAATTTAAAAAACTCTACACATTTATCTGTTTGTAATTTATCTGAAATTATTTGGTACTGTTTTTAAGGGTGGTAACTATACGAATTTATTTGATACTTTTAAGTCTTTATTGTTTGAGTTGTATGTCGAGACAAAGTTACTTTGACAGTGGCTTTAGGAACGTGTTCATATTTCTTATTTTATTTATAAATATATAGTTGTTAATGAAATTGTAATTGAATTTAATTAAATAAAAATATATATAATTATATGTACTGTTTTTCCTTCACTAAAAATCCCTCATAGATACTTAGAATTTCCCTAGAAGTTGCCGATTTGTTTTGAACTAGAAAAGAATCCAAAGTAAAGACTTAAAAAAATTGCAAGCGAAGAGGCCGAAACTGGCCAAACTGGTTTTGGTAAGTTGTTTTTGATTTTTTTTGTTCGCTTTTAAATGTTTAATGTTTGTTGTTATTGTTGTTTTATTTTTGCTGAGCCCACTACCGGAGTTACTCACACTTGGCAAACCCCGAACTCCGCTCGAAACCTCCCTGCCAGCCACTCCCCATTTTTATATTTTTTTAAGCGCCAGTTCCGTTGCGTTGTTTACGTTTAGCTCGGATTTCTTCATTCCACGCTAGTTTGTTTTGATTTTCAAAAAAAGGGTCAAGCTAGAAAAACTGGATGCCAGTGCTTGTTGTCTTCACTTGGCCATTGTTTCCCTACCTCTCCCCACCTCACCACCTCACCTTCGATGTCTTTATCTGCCTTTTGGATTCATTACTTTAAGTGTGGCAAAGGGAAATGTCTTTGTCTAAGATTTTCTGGGTTTATCTATTATTAATACTATATTTTAGGTGGTTTGAATTATATATTTTGAAATTTTAAAGTAGTTTTATATTTTTCATTCTAATTACTACACTCTATTCCATTCCTCCTTCATAGTAGATAGATTTCCCTCAGCCAAAGTAATATCGTTCCATTACTAATCTCATTTACCTATGTATCAAATCAATAATGGTTTCCGTTCCGACTAGCTTATGGGCCAGTTTGTTTCAGCAATGGCGGTGGCAGTATCCCCCCGGAAATGGAGCGACGCAGCTGGACCGGAAACCCGCACAGGGCGAGCCTGCTGCTGCACCTGTCCGCCGCTGTGCATCTGAGTTTTGCCATTTACTACGATTGCCGGTATGCTCAGTTGCCGCACTTGGCTGTGGAACTTAACCTGGAACCACCCATCGGGGGCAAGTTCAAGTACATGACCTTCCTGGGCGGACTCGTGCATTGCTTCTACTATTTGCTGGCTTTAACCCATGACATCCTTCGCCTTCGAGTGCTGCGACATCTGAGGGACTATGTTATGGCCAGCTTTGTGGTACCATTGGCTTTTACGGTGGGAGTAACCTTCTGGACCCTCTACACCATCGATCGGGACTCGATATATCCGCCAATTCTGGATCTCGTCTATCCCATGTGGCTGAATCACACGATGCACTCCTTCGTCATGATCTATGCTGTCCTGGAACTAAGCCTCACACAGCATCGTTATCCTTTGAGGAGAAAGGCCTTTACTGGCCTGGGAATCTTCATGGCTGCCTATCTGGTTTGGATCCATTTCCTGTGGCTGATGACCGGAATCTGGGTGTATCCCTTCCTGGGCGCCTTTGGGGGATTCTTCAGGTTGCTGTTCTTTGCTGGAATAATTGGCCTTGGATTTGGTTACTATCTGGTGGGAGAGTGGTTTAACCGAGTGATTTGGTGGCAACCGAGCGGAGGTCGAAGACGGAGTAGCAGGGGGTAAGACCCGCTGTGCCCTGGTAATAAAGGAATGGAAACTAGGCTGCCTGACATTTGACCAACAACAATTAACCTTTACTTTTTATATTAATTTAATTTAATAATTAAAATCAAATTATTTCGTACTCTGTAACTATGCTTATTACTGTAGTACAATATTAACCTGGTAGGGGTGGAAGCCCTGACTTGTCATTTTCAGCTCAATAAAAAACTAAATAATCCGGTCACATTGTTATTTTGTAAATAAATCTAGCCACTTTTTAGGAACATATAAATAGCTATTATTCTACTCATACCTAGCATGAACATTCAAATTATCACCGAAGAATATTACTATAGGAAACTATATTTATTCCCTGTAAAGTTCAAGCACGACTAATTTATGGTGCCAGATATACATAGTAAAAAATACAATAGAAGTCGTTGGTAAAGTAAATAAAAATAGCACAAGTTTAAGATAACTTAGAGCACAAAACTAATATAATTAATATTTAAGCAAAAAAGGCAGCTCTCAGAAATGAATCCTTCACTGCATTTTAAGCTTCTCAATAAAATTATAATACCCAGAAAGGGCATAAAATAGCCTTGTTAAACAGTTTTGAAATAATTCTGTTTCGTTTTCCTTTTAACAAGAAGAAATCTCGGACAGAATACAGAATATATACTATTAAAATATTAATAATTGTAATCTATATAATATTTGGTAGGAATCTCTTAAACAGAATATTCTTGAGTCGGCAAAAATGATACGCTTTGTTGTTCGCTGAAAATTGTTAGTTTAAGGGGAGAAAACAATTAAGCCGGGACGCGACCTTGTGACCAGCTGATCTGCCTGGCTATAACTACCAAAAATCTAACGCCAGATGTTATGGTCAAATAATGACTGGGGGTGAGAGGTCACATAAAAGAACACATCGTAATTATTTGTTTGTATTTCTTTGGCGGCAGTGCAGATCTCAGGTATCATCACCATATGGCCTACCCAAGAGGGTCTAAAATTGCTATTAGATCCATTCCAAGCCAATTGTTTGATTAGGAGTTTGTAATAAATTAACACAAAAGGAAAAGTTTTAGTAATTTTAATTCAATGAGAATCTTAAACGAATCAAAGAAATATATCTTACATTTTTCTATAAACTTAGAAAGCGTTTCCATTACGTCTTATGGAGTTTCAATATAAAGTTAACCTTCTTTGGCATGTACAATTATTTATTTTAATTGATCTCAATAATAAATGGGGTTATTGCTAAATTAATTTTGAGCTTTATCGGCTAAGCTTTGAGTCGATTTATACACAGAAAAAGTCTCTTGAGCCGCGTAAGAGAAATAAGCCAGGGCTTTATTGAACCAAAGAGCTCAAGAGAACTGTGACTACAAGGGGTTTGTTTCATATAGTCACTCTCTTTGAGACTTCTGTTTGAGCCATATTTAAGCCAAATTAATTGGAGCCTCATTAAAACAGATTACAAAAAATATATACTTATCCTCTTTTAAATGAGTTTCAAAGTTAAACTTAGATTAAAGCCAAAGTTCTTAAAGGTTTGCAATAAAGGTACATAGTATAGACCAAACCACATCACCTTTGAATTTTCGCCTTAGAGGCCTGTCTTAACTATCTTCCTCTCACCTCAAGTTTCACCCCTTTTTGGCTTTTGGGCCCAAAGAATTTTCTCTAATGACTTAAACGCGGTAACCACTAAAACATTTACGGCTTGTATGGCCCGCCCTGTTGTTGTTCACTTGCAACCACATCCACCAAAATTCAAGGTAAAAGCCATCTCTCTCTCCTGTTTTCCACACCTCGAAAAGACTTTGAAAGTAGTCACATTTTTGCGCAAAAATGTTCCCCCGAAACCGCAAGTAGAGAACTCATTAAGCACCAAGAATTCAGCGGCATAGCAAGCTGTGAAATGAAAGGATTGTATTGGGATTGGGTTAGCTCTCAGCAAAAGAAGTTTTCTGCTTGAAAATATATAAATTTTGGTAAATATATTAATAAAATTTAACTTTATGCAATATTAAAATCATCTTTAACAATTTATTAACATTTTGTATGTGTTTTGAAAAACCACAATTTTATTAGCCTTTTCCATAATAATGATTCAATCGAAGATTTGAATGTCGCTTGAGCCCGGTGCGTTCTGGAAAATAATTATCAATATATTACATATTTCCTTATTAAAAAAAGGTAAATTTTTTCCTTATATACTCTGTATATAAAATATATCTTTTTATATTTTTTAAGCAAGAATTTAACTTACTTCGTGAGGAATCGGAATCCATTAAATTACTATCAAGTGGTTTGCATACTTCGGGCAGTTTTTCTAGGGAAAGAAGGTTAATAAAATTATTTTTATAATACTAATAAAATGTAGTATTAATGAAATATAATAATATCTTCTTATTGCTTTGTTGTAGATGCTTTAATTTAAACCTCATTTGCCTGCGTATATTTATATCCGCTAACTTTTAAAGAGACAGACCTATTTCCATGGTTTCTCCTGATACTGTTGTTAAATAAAAGGATTAATGAATTCCTTTAAAAAAAATCTATGCTATGTCCTTTCAAGTTCCAATACCAAAGCCTGTTGTTCATGTTATTTGAACGGCGTGTGTATTTTGCAAATTCGATTCTCCTGAGTTGAGACTGAACGCGGTAGGTAATATTTATATTGCGTGAACCACAGTGTTTGCTTTACAATTCACTGAGTGTGTGTGTGTGGTGTGTGTATATTGTGATGTGTGGTGTGTTCCCGGGACGGGATTTTGATGGACAGGAGACTGAGGATTGAGGTTTGGGGATTTGCGGGGGGAAGAGGACTTCAGGGATAGAGAGACACGTGCGTTGCCAAATATATCCCCTGTAAGCCCCTTTGTTTGTCCTTGTTTCTTTATTTTTCAAACGAATCGGACTTATCCCTTTCCTGTTTTTTTTATTTGTTAGCATATTTATTTGGAAATTCGATTTTATCCCCGATTCCGACATTCGCTCAATGCCTGTGTCGCCTAATTCGGCAGTCAGGACATCACTTTGTAGTTACGCACATGCAAATTTCGAGAATAACCAAATTGACGCATGCAAATCCTTTAAATTCAAAAGGGGGCTCTGTGATTTATCCTGTGTTATCCTAGTTAAAGAAAAATCTTATTTGTGACCCTTGATTTAGCTTGAATTTCTTAATAAGTGATATATATATTTTTATCCAGCTGCTTTGAAGCACGGGCAGCCGCCTTGGCCGTCCAAGGACCTTTCCTGCAGCTCCAAGGACCTGGCCAATTGCCGGCTGCAGGATGCAGCACGCAAAGGTCAGCCCAAGGACAAACACCCAACGAGGTGCACAAAAATCCAGCTTCCCTATTAAAATCGATATTTAGTGCCTCCAGCAGAGATGCCCAAGGCAAGGAGAGATAAATACAAATAAAAGTTAAAAGGATAAGAAGTTCTCTGGAGCTAAAATTACATTTAAAATAAATTAAACCAACTGATGTGAGTATTTTAATTTAAGTTATTTAACTTCTGGCTTTCTGGCTTAACATTTTATTAGCTTTACTTTTAGGTATTAGTAAAATAAGTATTCAAATGGTTATATAAATATTTAAATAGGTATTTAAGCTCCCTAAAATATAGCTAACATTCCTTTATAACTTTTTTAATATTTCTTTAAATAAAATTGTTAGGTTTATCTTTGAGATACTTTAGCTCTTTTAGCCATCTTCTGTTGCCAACACTAGACCGACTCTGGCAAATCTGGCGAATGGGGCGTGGTAAGAGTATTTGCATTAAATTATGCGACGAGCTGCGGAAATGTTTGGCATCAAATGAAGAAGGGGCTTGTCGAGGGGGTTACGACGCAGACAAAAAAAATCAGAAAAAACAGAAACCATGGAACAAGGCAGTACTGTGCACCGTTAAGTGCGGCGGAAGCAATTTTACTCTTCAGCTCTGGGAAAACCAAAGAAGGAAATATAAGGAAAGCAGCCACAACATGGCATAAACAACAAAAAGGAGCAAAAAAAAATGTAATAGAAATCCTTGAAACATCTGTGAACCGCTCACTTAGCCCCCCATCTACATATATATATGTATATATATACAAAATATATATCTCACTTTTGTATTTGAATACACACACACAGGTAAGCAAGTGTGTGCGCTCTCGCATTTTGTAATTGTTTCCTTTGCTGCTTTGAGCTTTTCATGTATGGCACACTGTGTCACCGCCTAATCCTTCAACTCATCTACCTTACACTGGGAGAAATTAATTGAAAGTGATTGTATAAGAACTAAATACAATATATAATAACAAGAGAACAGAAAGTGCAATATTGGTAGGAATTTTTTGAGGATTTTAAAAGGGAAGAGCTGCTAACTCCATACGTTTCTATCATTCATCTTGTATATAATAAAGTACCTCATATATGAAACATTAAAATAATTGGATCTATATATTATATCTAAAGTTAATCATTAGTAATAATTATTAAGCATTTTTCCAAGTGCTGCATTTAGCGAAGGGCCTTCGTCTCCCACTGCATTTTAATCGTCGTCATTATACGGCCATAAGGGTGGGCGTAATTTTCACATTCATTTCGTTTCACTCACTGTTTTTCTAGCATTCATTTTCAGAGTACTTAAAAAAAGGGGAGAATATTTAAGAACTAAGGGCTAGAGACAGAAAATACAAAGGTAGCAAAGGTAGAGAAAGACTTTACTATAAAATAAATAAAATAAATCAAAAGCTATGAACAAAAATTCTACATACAATATAGAAACAACATGCCACTGAATATCTTAACATTTAAATGTAATACGAACCCTAGAAATTCCATAATTTGTATAACTAAAACAATCTAATTTTCTAAAAATCCTTAAAATACTTTATAAATCCTGGAACTTTGCTTTAAAATGCCACTTTCAAGGGACCACCGTCTTCAAAATAATTATGTCCATTTGTATGGCCAAGCTGTTCGTCATCTCTGGGACCCATTACACCCTTTTTCAGTTTGCCTTTTGGCCAAATTTACTCTGTAGATGACCGACAGCATCCCACTATCCTTCCACCCATCCTTTGGCTTCCTTCCTTCCTTCCGGGTTGGCATTAAAACAAATCGACATTTTTCTCCGAGAGTAAACTTTATGGGGTCATCGGTGTAAAGATATTGTACCCAAGTTCCATCTTGGAATTTTGCACTGCTTTTCACCAGAGTGTGTGAGAGGGAGAGGTAGGGAGGGAAAGCGCTTTTCTTGCTCGCTTATTAACATAATGACCAAGGAGATGGAACGGACATAAGGCCAAATGGGCATTACAGGGGCAGCCGAGCAAGAACTAGGAAAAGTTGTCAAATAAACCAAAGCCAGAGCAAAAGCAAAAGCAGAGCGAGTGCTGTGCGGCCAATATTTCTACTCATTATGCTAATAAGTTCGCAAAAGACCAACGTTGGGTAGAGCAAAATGCTTCAGTGGATAAAATCACAGTGAATTTCAGAAGGAAAATAAATTTAAAATCAAGTCAAAAGTATATGGGGTTAATTCAAGACTAGAAAAACGTAAATTCGGGACTAGAAAAACTATTCAAAGTTTAAAGAAAAAGTATCAGATACATGGGTTATTATTAACGGATATATAGTATATAAACCTAATTTATTTAATGTATTAACAGCTCCCCGAAGTGACAGATAAATTCCTAATACTACTACAATGATTAAATAAAAGTAAATATTTTACAACAAAAATATTTAAATTTGACTAAAAAAGAAAAATGAAAGAATAATAAAGATAACTTATTTCTTTAATTATCTAAAGTAGGTATGAATTCTTAAAGATTCATACTCTCTAATTTCGTTTTAAATTACAATGATTAAATTTCAATCTTTAATGTACTCTTTCAGGGTATTAAGTAAAGTAAAGTAATTTAAGTAAAGATCTTGAAACCCAGTGAAGAAGTCATTTCCGAACCTATATATCTCATATATTCTTGATCAGAACTAAAAGGCGAATCTTTCTATACACATGCGGTCAATAAATAAATTTTTCAACATTTTTCCAAAACTACAAAAAATTTATAAAGGGTTACATTGTTATTTTTTTAAATTGACAAAAATAATGAATTTGTTTAAATAATAAGTTTGGTATGCAGATTTAAAACCAATTTTCCGAATTGAAATTAAAGCATTCTTGACTGAGTTAGAGAGAGAGGATTTTAAACTTTGAATTTTCAGAAAGAATTGTCATATAAAATTGTCCATAAATATTTATTCAAAGAATGCTAATATTTTAAGCTTAGTTTTAATCGATTTCCAAATCAATCCCATAATTCACTTATAAACTGCAAGGGTATAACACTTTGGTTTCTCGTAACTACATATTTCCCTTTCTTATTATTATTAATATGACTTGGTTTTTGTATTCCCAGCAAATGCTCTATTATGGTTAATTAATTTTAATAAGCTCGTGGTCAATTCATGTGCATTAAATTGCATTGAACAATCTCGTCACTTGGGACAGGGAGAAGCCACGCGATGATCCAGAAGTCACGTAGCACAAGACACGTTGCCCCAAAAGGCGGGATCATTTGAAGTCGTCAACCATTGAGCCGTGACGTAGAACGATTAACCGGAGGACGTACACGTATTTATATTCATGTACGTATATAGATTTTTTAAAAATTAAGCGGTTACGTCAAAGAAGGCACTACGTGTGTCATCAGGTAAATTTGAGGATAATTAGCCAGACATCATTGACGTGGGCGCCCCTGATTCCGGTCTTAAATCAAGCATAATTAATCAGTTTTAATATATATTATATATAAGCAAGTCTTGAAGAAATTAAATATAAGAAGATCATAGATTTTATCATTAGTGTTCTCTACTTTCCGAGACATATCTTCTACTTTATACATTTAGATTTACTTTCCCACTCTCCACCTATGTTTCAAAGGCATTATACACACCACAAGTTAGATTCAAGTATAGTCTGAAGCTAGACAATCGGTCTCCAATTTAATATATATTGCCATCGGCACTGGTGACTAACAGTACTTTCTGGTCTGGCCGCTGTTTGGGGCCCCGATAATTATCCGTCGAACCTTCAACTCAATTCGCGTGCTTGTTGCCGGGCGACCGACAATCGGCCAAAACCGGTCGATGACTAATCACAATCAGGCGATCTTGTGAAAAGTGCCGCGATCTCAATTGCAATTGTATGGATCTTGATCGGATCGGTCTCTCTGAACAGTTAATGGGTAGCAACACCGAACAGTCAATGCCCTAAGGTCACAATATGGTCTTTAAATGAGTTCTATTACAATAAAGAAAATGGAAAACA